GAAAAGATCATGCTTAGTGAGATAAGCCAGAAAGAGAAAGAAAAATACCGGATGGTTTCACTCATAGCAGGAGCATAATGAACCAGGCGAGAAAATAACAAGAATAATGAACAACCATATACCAGAGACATTTTGTGGGGGTGGAGTGGTGAATGGGATCAAAAACGGGGGGGTCTAGGGGGGAGTGAAGTGCACGAGATTATGATGATGGCACATGGGTGACTTGGTGATGGGAAACCTGCGGGGATTACAATTGAGATGGGGGGAAAAAATGTACAAAATGATGTAAAAATAAACTGTTATAAAAGGAAAAAAATAAGAAAAGAGAATTAACCACCAAAACTGATTTAAGAGCAGTTTTGCAGAATTGGGAAAGATACTGTATTTCTTAAAATAGTAATTTCCTTTACTACTCTGTAGATATATGAAGGAATCCCTGTATTAAATTGTTGGGAAGCACTCCCCTTAGGAGGAAGAGCTCTTCACAGGTAAGTTTCTTGGAATTTAACATATTTGTTTCACCGGTGCCACAAAAGCAAATGTAATTTTTTTGACAGCCCATAGGGGTTTTGTAATTTGGATATTGTTACTCATTTCTTTATATATGAACTTTGAATATATTCATTTAATTTTTAAGAATAAGACCACTTAAAGCATGCTATATTATGTAGTAAAAGTAGTAAATGAGAAAAGGGTATCAGTTACAATATTTTAATCCTAGTGACTTTTTCATCTTCAGGGAGTTGGAAACTCAACTGTTGGAACAGTGTACTGTTGACACAGGTGCTGCTAAAGAACAGAGCCTTCCCTCTGTGATGGGTAAAATCACTTAAAGATATTTAAGAGTGGTTTATATTCTTCATTGTTGAACTTTGTTTTCTATTCCATTATAAGTTACTTTTTCCTACCATATTACTCTAATGACATTGATCTTAGACAGTCATCATTGAGCTATTAATCATCCACACCCAGTAGTTTAATTTTAGTCATTCTTTCAAGAATTTTTTGACCAGGTAGATTATCAAGTATTCTTTATTTTCTCTCCCTTCCCTTTCAGGGTTCTTCCTTTTTGGTGGTCTGTTTCTTCAAGTATTCCTTCTTAGTTTCCTCTGCTCTGGTTCCTCTACCAGTGCTCTCCTAGGTGTCTCTTATTTTATTATTTCTACTGATTTTTTGAAAGTTATCTATTTTCTTGACTGTAGCTACATCTATATGCACTAATTTTCTGAGGAAGGCCTGACCTTTCTTCTAAATATGATAGTCATTTTTTTAAGTGGTTATTAGATATAAATTAGTCATATCTCTAGGCCCTTCAAATGTAAGACTTCTAAAAGTGACCATGTCACCTATTCTCCCAAATTTACTGCAATAAATCATTAGACAGAGATAACATCTTCTCTTTAAACGACTGAGTTATCAAATCCTTTCAGTTCTCTCTCGAAAATATGTTCATGCCTCCCTGGTGGCCTAGGGGTTAAGTCTTAGTGTTATCACCACGGTGGCCTGAGTTTGAATCCCAAGCAGGGAGCTAGCCCACATATGTGGCACAGCAGACCTCTCCTGTTTCAGCCACCTCTCTCCTTAGGAGTAGATTTCAGGGATTTGTCTGTTCTGCTTCCCACTCTCTCTTTGGTGAATACTCTCAACCCCAGACTTCTGGCCAACATCCCAGTCCTTCTGTGCAAAAATATGTAAAAAATAGGGCCTTCTTTGGTGGCCAACAGGTATAGTACTGTGATGCTCTCCAAAGCCACTGCAGCACAAGTTCAATCCCCAGCCAGGGGGTGACTCACATGGCGTGGCAGACTTCTCCTGTCTCACGCACTGTTCTCCTCAGCAGTATATACACTGCCTGTTTTGTCCCCCACTTGTTTCTGGTGAATCCTCGCATCCCCCC